TTTGGTACGGCACTACTCTGAACACTGTTAGATTGTTGAGCTGCATAAGCAGGGCCTCTCACCGGGCTGCTGTAGGAACATGGTGGTGTCGACCCGTGCCCATGTAGATATAAACAGYTTATTCTAATGTAAAAATAATGCAACAACTTCTTAGTGATAAGATGTTTTTAATCATTTTTCTTAGTGATGATATTAAAGTCTGCTAAAAGATTCACCTGAATGCAGAGATGGAGACTCGTGACTCAGACTTAGACTTGTCGCACTTACTGTAAATCCCTACAGTTAGAAACTTTAGACTTGACTTGGACTCGTGGTTTGAGACTCGTGAACAATGCAAGTCTTTTCACTGCCCGGCTCACGATGCTTACTCCCTCAATACACATCCATGCTCCGCTTCACCTCACCTGAGAATGGGAGGGGCCAGTACCATCCAATGTTAATGACTCTACGTGATGAACAGAGCTTCAGCATGGCAGGTGTGTTGCAGTAGGTCTTTATTCAACGCCATGACAAGAAACTGGCAAAATGCCAAGTGTGTGGAGTCCAAATCCAAAATTTGTTTTTGTGATGACTTGTGCAGCCCCATTACTTTAAGGATTCTGGTTAATCATCTTCACTGACATGTTTTTATGGATTTAATAATGTTTTTTCTGGTATTTTATTGTAAAATCAGCAGCAGACTTGTTGGATTTGTTCATTGTCAATAAAAAGATATACCTTATTTATTTGAGTATAATATGTCAAATTTAATGCATGAAATCATCCATAAAGTTGGGGGGTAGTACTATACTTGGATAAATATTTTTAGTTATGTATTTTAACCGTTATATCGGCAAAATGCGTGAGTCCAGAAATGAGACCACGTTGTAAAAAGCAGTTGAAAAGAGCTCACCTCTGACACTCCTCCGTGCTTCAGAGCGAAAGAGTAACAGATCCATCAGGCGACATGATATGAAAAAAAAGGGGGAAAAAGCAGTCCTGCACCTTAATAATGATAACGAACTAATGACATTAGTGTGTGACCGAGCCGCTCCTGGAACAACAACAAACACATGTTCG